TAAGAAAGTTCGTTTCTGATTGGTCGGTTTTTAACTAATGAGACCTCGGCCACCGAAATGGGCAATGGATTCGGATTCAGGGCCCTCGATAACCTATGGCAAAGTTCACTCAAAACGACCAAAAGTCTTAAAATAAGCTAACCTCTCTGGTATGTTCTTTTGACCCTGCCACAAACACACAAACAAACACACACACTATTTTTTTTCATATGACCCTCCCTACAGTCGAGGGAATAATGATACTTCATTACGATCTCATTGCGATTTTAAACCTTGTTCATTGTTAACAAATTCTTCTTATAATAATAAATTATCTTTAATACCTTCAACACATAATTGTTTCAAACGATCAACGTCTATATGGGAAAACTTCTAGTGATTTATTAGCTGATTCAGGAACATTTCTAGGTTTTTTTCGTGTTTCCTATACGTATTGGAACAGGTGGTTCAGATTTTTTTTTCTGGAATAAATATTTATTTATCGAATAAATCGATTTATTTCCCTTACTTGTTTAAAGTGAAAATTTTCATTCTTACCATTCGAAAATCTCGAAGAAAAATAAAAAAAACAAAGATGATCGTTATCACAAACAAAATAAATTAGATTGATTTATCTAGTTATGTTTATTTGTTTTCTTAACTAAGAAACAATAACATATTTCCGTTTTTTTTCTTCACAATAATAAGAATAGAAAAAAAATCATCACACAAGATATGTAAACGTGTATGAACAAGAAAAAAATTCTTTCTTTTTTTTTTTAATTTTGATAATCATAAAGATACTTTTAATTGATATTCGAAAGAGAATTCGATGGCGATGGTCGTCGATGTTCAATATCATGTTGAACAGCTTCTTTCCATCATTCATATTTAACAGCCTCACCTAACACGAACAAGTTTTGTATGAAGAGACATGACGAATTCATTGTTTTGGTGGCATCAACATTTTTTTAAATTATACAGAATCATCGTTTTTTTAGAACGATAATCATCGTAAATCCTATATTAACAAACAAACAAATAAAACAAATTCAATAAATATACTTAACTCATAAACATCAACAAAAATAACCTCATATCGATAATCATTTTGCTTGAATATGACCAGTCTTTTTCACGACGAAATTTATCAATTGCACATTGACATGTTGGATTTTTAAATGTAGATTCATATCGAAATTAAAGATCAAGAATTGATTTCGTTATAGGAAATAAAAAGACTTGAAATTCTAAATGATGTCAACGTTCTACTAATTGAACGATCGATAGGTGTGAGTTTTTGGAGGGAATCGGTAAGAAATAAAAAACAATAAAACACACAAATACAATTCAAGAGAAACGGGAAATTTTTCTCGGGAAACAGATCACCTATAACGAATCCAATGGCGACAGTCAACTACCGATCCATCTCTACCCTTATATCACTACTCTTCTCATGTCACTCTTTATCACCTACGTTCTCTCTTTCATTCCTATTGTGTCTAGATTTACTCCTATGTCATTTGTTTTTGTTGCGCCGATTCATCGTATCAGTTAGGTTACCTTTAGTTGTTTTTATTCTTTGTTATAATTCTTGAAGGTTTCATTGAGTGAATTAGTTTGTCACATATTTCTAGTTGCTCTTGTTTCGTCTTTCATTTCTTATTGATTGTTATCTTCTTATTTGTGTTCATAATTATATTCAATAAATAGGATCATCTTTATTCATCTTTAACTCATCTTATTAATATATTTATCACTCTAGAAATTATCGATAAACACAATTGGTAAACATCATCTCTGCGACACACTCTCGTATAATAGTTGGATAATCTATGTTAGGAATTGAAATCGAGAAATCTGCAATACATATAATGACTTATCATTAATAAAAATTGATATAAAACGTCGAAGATTTCAAATCGAAGAGCTTTCTATAAAATGATGAAATCATCTCTACGCCTCTTATTCAGATCTTATTCAAATATCTGTCTTGATCCGTTGATCTAGTCATAGATTGAAAGTTCAAAGTAAATATTGAATATCGTTACTGTGAAAGTGTTCGTTCTCGTTGTCTTGGAATAAATCTTATCTATATAATGATCTCATTGATAAGATGTTCGATTAGACATTATTAGAAAAGAATAATCTATCGTAGAATATATAGACGGAGAAGTATATTATATATAATGGAGTATTTAATAATGAAGTAAAAGGAAATTTTTTTTGTAAATGAATCCTTTTCTACTAATAATTAATGTTCGAAATTTCTCTGATATATAACCTTTCTTTTTAATATATTAATAAGTTGATTAATTGTGAAAAAAAATATTCGTTTTTCAAAAGGAAAATTTAATAATTGTTTCTAATGGAATTTTAATCGATTTGTTGTTGATCAATTTGATAAACATAGATAGAGGAATAAATATCTTATTGTTATTTATTTTAAATTTTCAATTAAAAAAAATAAACGATTATTAAATATAAATCGTTCATATTGTTCTATATTTCCACTAAATAATTTAAATGAATCGATAGGTATTGATTAAATTAAATAAATTTATATTTTGTAAAGTATATCCATTGTTAGGTATCGAACCATTTAACATTTTCACTATAACCTATATATAATAATGATTGTTGATTATTCTTAATAGTAGCACTTTTTTTTTTGAATGAAGACAATTTCTAAATAGATAATGAAAATGTTGAATAGCTGATTTACAATTATATTGATGTAAGAAACGTTTACCAATAAAATAAGGCGATATGTAAGGACATACGGATGAAAATCGATGTTATTTTTGAGTATATTTCTTCTTGGATATATTACTTTAATGGATGATCATCTAGAAAACACGAAAGACAAATCATTTTTATTCTTAACAAGATTAATAATTAGAAAAAAAACAAAATGAGGAAATAAACAATTCTAATAAAGCTTACTCTCAATTCGCTTTTTGACCACAAAATATAGATTAAAAACATAATCATTGACTAGTTTGTTTCGTTACTAAAATGGTCTCCTTTTCGTTCATATATTATTCTCACTCGTCTTCTAAGCATATCTTATCAGGTCGATTGAGAAACGATAACATAAAAGAAACTGAGGCCGTGCTCGAAAATAAAGGAGCAAAATCTCTACTTATTTTTTTTATAGAGATTTTCATTAGAATTGTCAATTAAAATAACATTATTAATAATAATCTAGAATCAATGAAATAACTTTTTTAATTTGTTTGATTTTTTTTCAACAATAAACAATTCTCACAAAGAAGGATAACATATATATCGATTAGAGACTCTATTTACCTCACCCAAATACATTAAAAAGAACATAATAGATAACGTTAGGAACTCGGTTTTTTTTTCTTAGCACATATCGCAGGTAGGAGCATTATTCAAGGACATTGTTTTAGAAATAATAGACCGATGAAAAAAAACAATGACACTTTGTAATTTGTCATGTTTTCTTTATTTTTCTATCGAATAATTTCGAAATAATAGCTCTTTTTAGTCTCTCTCTATAATAATTGAAAAATTGCAACTGCATTGTGATTTAAGTGATGACGTTAAATCAAACACATAATCTCCGTTTATTGAAAAGTAAGAAAGATTATTAGTGATTCTATGCTCTAATAGGTGATTTTAAGGATGATCATGAATAACTCTCGTTTGAATATATAGGCCTTTATCAGCTTTATTTTATAAGCGAAACGTTTTCTTTATTAATCTAAAAGAAAATCTCTCAACGATTAGAATATCTATAGAGAATATGTTCTCGATTCTTCTATACTTTATAATAGTGGTACTAGCACTAGTTGTTGGTATGTTATTCTAAGAAGGGAACTATCCGAAGTTATATCTGCGTATAGAGTCTATTACTGATCCCTATATAAACATATCTTGACGATGGTATCAAAGGTCGAAAATGGCTCATTCTCATGATCGTCTAGAGGCAGATAATGATCATTTTATTCAGTTTTCGACTCATCTTTATGTATGTAGGGGTGTGGGTGTGGGTGTGTAGAAGTTAGGCGTTCCACGACAAACGCTTGTTTCTGTCTTGCCGGGACTTCGTCAGATGGAATCTTAAAGATATTATATCAAATTTATAGTAATTCAAGATATTTTGTAAATAAACAAAGGAATTACTATGTATGATACAATAATCTATATATTACTATTGCACAAAGAATATATCAAATTTTTTGTGTAGAATTAACTATATATAATTCTTAAATAGATTATATATGTCCATATCTATTTAGATATATTTTTAAGCAAAGATTATCAATGATTTCTAACACATTTTTGTAGGGTGTAACAGCTACCATAATCTAGATTTCATCTCGGCTAAGAGAATCGTCAGATGGCTTAAAATTCTATAATGATTTTCGAAAAAATCACAAGAATGATTGAATTTATTCTGTTCTATAATCGTTTGCACAATTATAGAACAGAACAAATTCAATCATTCTTGTGATTTTTTCGAAAATCATTATAGAATTTTAAGCCATCTGACGATTCTCTTAGCCGAGATGAAATCTAGATTATGGTAGCTGTTACACCACTGTAAATTATGATCTATCATAGCTTACGAACTACAGTATAGATTTTAGACTTAGTTTCTGATTCAAATTTGGATCGAAACAAGTACCATCTGAAGATTCTCGTTGCGGAGATGAAATGTCGACATCATGGTTGCTCCTACACACCCACGCCCACACCCACAGCAACATAATCTATTCTAGCCCACTAACATTCTCTGAAATTTTCGTTGAAATTGGATGAAAAAATAACAAAGTTGGTTTCTAAGGGCTCCTTAAGAAAAACATTAAAAGCCATTAAAAATTTTAAAAATTGAAATGAAAAATTAAAAAATATTTATTTATTCGTTAATTATTGTACGTTAATTCTCATTTCATTAATTTTTATTTTTGCGCTTTTTTTTTCATGTTCACCCCATAATATGCATCGTAGTACAAAACTGCTGCTGTTATTAATGCTTCAACGAATTGCTAGACAGCCACAGCAATGAGACATTTTGGCAGACTATTATTCGCAATTGTCAAAGCCAATACAAAAAATGTTAAAAATCGAAACATAACTGTAAGTTTATAGAATTTTTTCCATCGGTACCATACTGCTATTAAATAATAAAGTCCTATATTAAATGAAGCTATTGATAAACAAATTAAAAATGTTATGGTATAATCTGCCGATTGACGTACCGATCGATCAACAACAGTTAAATGCATTATTTCTAATATCATTTCAGGATATATTAAACCGAAGAAACCTGATATTACTGATATTAAACCAAACCCGCCTACGATTAAATCAGACACTGTTGCAGGCATTATCTGTAATAATTTGTTTTTGTACGATATTAGTATTGTGTTGTCCTATCGTATAGAGGGTGTTTCAAAAGTTTTGACCCTCTCTGTAATTTGACTTTGTCTATACCAAATATATTTATAGATTGTTGATTGAAATATAGAATTTTTTAGATAATGAGAAGAGCTATTATCTAAAAAAATGTTTCAAATTGTGTCGGAGTTATGAAAAGTTATGGAATCCTCGGTTCCAAATAAAAAATAATCTCTAAATATGAACTAATAGATCAGTTATAAAAAGATGAACCTTTAATATGGAAGTACACAGATATGTGTTTGTTGAAAAAGAGTGTTAACGCGTAAAAAAAAACAACATGCGGAAATGAAAATAGTCTTTTTTAATCACAGTATTAGTTGAATCGAACCGAATATAATTTTAATTGAGCTGAATCGAACCGATTTCAAATTTTTAAAACTTCGGTCGAATTGAATTCAATAGAATCGAATCAGAATCGAGATTTTCTTATGCATTTCGGTCTCTGCAGTATATTAGAGTAAAAATACAACAAAGTATGAAAGACCTCCTATCTCGTCACAAACACATATGTGAATAAAGTGAAGGAGAGCGCACAACCAACTGACGAAACGAACAATCGAATGGAAAGAAAAACGCCTATATCTAGCGAGAAAAGGAGAGAGACGAGAGAATGAATGCGAAGACAAAGAAACAAGATAAAAAAATTCCTTAGAAGACAAGAAAAGGAGACGAGTGATCAAAAAATGATGCGATCGACATTGATGACTTCCATCATGTTTCTTATCGATCTTTCTAGATTGAAGATTCTAGTTGACATTTTTCTATTGGGTGGGCCACTCACTACTTTTTAGATGGCTTCATTCTGTTTCGAATTCAAATTTCATCGTAATCAGTACAAATATTGTTTTCCCTCATCTTCGTGCTGTTGTCCCTCATTGCTGTAGGTTACACAGTACGTGTCAAGAGTTTCTGAGCAGGCCTACACAAACTGTCATGCTCTTGGTAGCGACGCAGTTGTCCACTAACCAGCCGTGCTCGTCTGTTGTGGGTTCAACCTTACCTTCGTCTCAGTATCTGCGCTTGCCTTTCTTCCGTCATAAAACATGTAGCTAGGTTTTTCCAATTTTCTTCGAGCTGATTCGCGGAAATTCCCACGAACACTAATCCCAATATATGCCTGCTTTTGGTCAAAAATATGGAACACGTCTTCAGATGATGTCAATGCATTTGAATAAAAAATGAAATAGTCCGTTTTTCTCGACATGAAATAAATTTGAATTCAATAATCGCACATGTTACCATAGACAAAAAAGATGACCGTATAATGCTTACCAGGTGGACCAGTGATTTCTGAAGCTTGTGCAATTATCGTAATTGTGCGTTGCAGTATAGGTTGTAATATCTGAATGAAGGAGCAAAGACGCTCAGGAAGAACAGTCGTGCTTATATAGTCAGCGTAATATTTTCCCAATGAAAATTTACCAGATGTGTCACGATTGACAATTTACGATGATGTTGTGCAAGTAAGAATAAATGGAATTTTCATCGAGCGAAGAACGGTTCGAACAAAACGAAACATAATGCAAACGCGCTGTTTACCTGAGTGCATGCTTTTTTCATCAACTGGGGAGAAAAGGCATCGCGAAAATCATAGTCATGTGAAGCGAAACTACATTAACAAGTGTTAATAATGATGCTAGGGCGTTTTTGTGTACTCAGAAAGTGAGTACACTCTAGAATCGGTCAGTATGTCCGGCCGGCCGTCCGTTCGTTTACACGATAACTTTTGAAAGGAGAGTCCGATTGCGATGAAATTTTCTACACACTTTAGTCTCAACAATATCTCGGTCGAGTTCGAAGGTGAGAATGATTGGCCGAACCATTCCTGAGTTATTGCAAAAATACTCATTTTTCCCTATGACTTCCTATAGGAAAATCGACCTATCTCCACATTCGTAAAACACTTTTCCTATCATAGTCAAAGAGAACCCCAACTGTTATATACCATTCGATAGAGAATTTCAAGAGCTACAAAATGGTATATAAAACATAAAGAAACAAGAAGGCTAGCTCACCTATTGAAAAGATAAACAAACAGAAATCGGTTCTGTTTTTGTCTGTCCTCTAATCGATCCACAATTCGAGCTCTATCTTTCGATCACAGAGATAATACTTCGAGGTTTTCTGGGATGGTGAACTCGAATCTGTAATTCACTTGACTCGAAGCCCCCTTGGTTGAGCACTGACCAATAGAAATCAAGTTATAGGAAAAATGCCTTTGTTAGGATGATCCAAGGCGAAGAGTCCAAATCTAAGCTGTATTCACTCAGAAATCCTATTGATTGAGCAGTTGCCAATAGAATTCAAGTGTTTATAGAAAGGATTTATCAGGCTAATTTTTATATCCGCACATTCTAGGATGACCGATTTGTCTCATTCACTTTTTGTAGTACGCATAGATCTTGGATTTAAATCCGAGGTTTTCACATTCATTTATAATCCAGAAACGATAAAAACTCAAGCGGAAAATATCGCATCATCTGTGACTCAAATAGAGCCGGTTGCAACATCTCAAGAAGCAGGTAAGAACTCGTTTTGATCAACACCAGTTCGATAATTGCATCATCTATTGAGAAGAGTTCAAGTTTCGTGCTTCAATCAAACTTTTTAAAAATAGAGCTAACTAACTGCAATAGGTAAGACCCAAGAACCTCTACTGAATATTGAAAGTTCAAAAAGATACTGTTTCGATCTATCAATGACTTCATTGCGGATATTCATCCCAAAATTTAGACTAACTCGAACACATTATTTGCTTAGAATTTCTTAAATTCTACAGTTTTCCTCGTAGGAATCCGAAACAGCTTCGCCTCTTCGGTCATATGTTTGAAAAAGGATTTCTAAATAGCAACATAAGTCATAGTCATACCACCTATCAAGAGCAATCAATTTGTGTATCCTAGCGAATTCAAACAGTGGAAAGTTTTTCTTCACATTCTTGTTTTCGATGTTTTATTTCCGATATTTTCACCTGTCCACATTTATATTTTCGCTATTTTTACTTTCGGCGTTGTTGAAGACAATTTATAAGAACTGGCAATACCGTTTTTTATGCTGCACTCGATAGTCCACGTAACGTGAGGATTCCCTATGCGTCATTCACGAACAGTTAAAGAAGATATCAATGTTTAAACTAACAATATATATATATATATATTCTTTTTTACATTGGATATCCTATGGTGAAACCCTTGTTTACACTTTTTGACTCTTTCCATTTTTGTGGCTCAATACTTTAGTCTTAGTTAATAGGACTGAGTGGGGATCATATTCGAGTTCTGTTTTCGTGATTAGCCCATGATTAAACATAGAACTGGCAAATTATTGAACTCGTATGATTTATTATTCATAGATGTACCCAAAAAAGATATATCCAATTAAGTACGTACGGAACTATTAATAGTGTCCTATTTCATGTTGTAATGGAGATATAATCAAAAAAGTTTTATATTTAAAAATTTCGACTGGTTTGGCACTAACTGCTCTGACGTGTTCGGTAGCTTGTTTAAAGTGCTCCGTTTGAAAGTGTAGCTGCAAAGCATCTTCTTTTGTCCACTCTTCGATAAGCGTGAAGTGCGTTTCGTCCGATAAGTCTTGGTGCGGCTCATATCTGATACAGCTAGGCTCACTTCGAGTAGCTTCTGTCAAGTTTCCAAGCATAGAAAAAATATTTTCCATTTGATCAGCCCGACCAGAGTTGGAACCGGTCCGGCAATCCGGCTCCGGTCCGGCCGGACCGGACGAGAAATCAAATCCGGCCGGACAAAACCGGATTTTTGCCAGTTCATCATTGCAAAATGATTGCTCGTATTGATGATTTTTCACCGAAGAACGAGTTTTTTCTACATTTTCAACTAAAAAGATGAATAGAATAGTACTCAAAATGAGAAATAGACAGAAAGAAGCAAGAGAACTGCTTCTCTCTTATGGAACGATTGCAGTTGCTAGAGCAATAGCCGATCGGTGCAATGATTGTGGTAATTAGGAAAAGACGGAAAGTTTAAGACATGAAAGCGAGAAATCCTACGTCAACTATTCCGGCTGCCAGATCTATAAGAAAGTGGTCGAAAACCATCAGAATCGACAGGTTTCATTATGTTCCGATGTATTTTGCAATTGGATTGCTAGTTGAAGTCGCTGGAGTTCTTCGACAACAACTGCCAGTTGTGCTCGAAACACAAAGAGACCGACTCAAAAACTTCAGTCAGATTCCATTGGCAAGAACACCGAATCATGACAAAAGCTTCACATGGGAAACTATAACCCAGAGGTATAGGTTCTATTCTATTTGCTACTTCTCTCTGACAACCATCATATCCACCACAAAATCAAGCAGTTCTTCTGCCTTGATCTTCTTGAACGATTCTTAGTAGAAAAAGAGAAAAATATGCGTCATTCACGATAGTTATTACTGAGCTTGATTTTTTTGTTTTTAAATAACGATGAGTAGTCGATATTCGATATAATCG